TCCTGGTGCTGCCAGGGCTGCTGCACTGGCTGCCAAGCACCTGCTTGCGTCAAAGCTGCTTGAGCCTGGCCACAGGCGTGGAAAACCGTCACACATGTCCCTCCAGGTGTGACATACAACTAATAAGCAACAAAAACACTCACCAAATGTCGAAGGCATCGCAGCTATTTGTAAGATGTGACAGGCAAGAAAAATAGAACTGAAATTCTGCATTCCCAACATATCCCAACATAAAAACAGAAGGACACCACTGGCCACTGTCCGAGGCATGCGCCGTCTTTTCAGACCATGGCCGAACCCTCGGCCGTCTTCTCCCTACCCATGGCCGCTGCACCCCGCCCCAGCACACCTGCTGTGCCGCATGGTGTCCATTCTTCAAAGCCAAAAGCTGCGGTGCTTGCGGCAAGGCCATCAAGCCCAGTGGCAAGGGAGCCACTGGCTCGGGTGTGCACCTGGGAGTGGCAGACGGTTTTCATCCGAACGAGGGATGAAGTACATTGGACTGCTTGTCTATCTGCTTGCCTCTCTCTCTATCCAAATCTGAGGGCCTGGCTTGAGATGCCAACCTGGATCCAAAGACCTGAGCCAGCCCCTACACCAACCCAATTGCACGACGTATACAGCAGTAGGGGCAGGCCGAGCAGGCCCCTCTGTTGAGACGAAAGCCGCTGATCCCAAAAGCGGCAGCGGGGATGTGGCAAGACCCATGTGACCACAAAAGAGCAATCCGGCAGTAGTAGTTGTGGTGTAGAAAGGTTGTAGTTTTGGAAGAATGACCCCATGTTACCAGATCATCAAGGCAGGTTTGGAAGAAATGTGTTGAACAATCGCAAGTCCCACACTTGATCGTATTTGGGGAGTCTTCTTCCAAGACGCAGGTTCTAAGCTTGGCTGGTAGGGCGATGGCAGGATTTTTTAGGGGGGCTGCCAGCCACGCCGTTTGGCCGCTGAAACGGGATGAAACGTCCCACCTTCTGGTGTCTGTTTTCGCGTGCGGATACCTCCGGTGAACAAAAAACCACGGCGTGATGGCCCAACTTCAAATCCCACAACCTCACGTCCCATGCCTTGTCAATCAGGGCACAAAACAAGTGATGATCTTGCAACGTCTAAAGACACTCACACACACACACTTCACTTCGCAAACACATTCACCAACTATTCCAATGACCCATTACCCAATGCATACCTCATGATACCCCGGCCACCCTGTGTGACCATCCCTTTCCTTTCGGAGCCCACCAGACCGGCTTCACCCGAACTTCACCGGCCCAAGGCACTGCAACTGCGTGAGCAACTTTTCCGCCACCTGAGGAGTTCATTCAGCGCTCAAGCGCTTTGGGAGGTTCGGACATGGTACCCAAACACTTCATGTATGGAATATTGAATATTACATATGTCCTCCATTTATGAGCCTAATGTTTGAAATGTTTGCATGTGCCCAACTTCCTGGTGTATGAACAAAAGATGTTCTCGAGTTGCCGCCACTGCTCAAGACGACATGGCATCTTCCACCATGCAAGCACGCTGAACCACTGGTCAAGATGCGGTTCGGGCTACCTTGTTTAGTTCACCTTGACCGAACACCTCTATGTGTGGGAGGTTCGCGAGGACGCACTGCCGAGAGCCAATGCCAGCCAGTGCAATGGGAGTGCATTCGACGCGATACACCGTGGGGAAGGTCTGTTATACGATCCTAACGCCCCAGCTCTCTGTCGCTTTGCATTTGTGGGCCCTGGACATGCCGACAAAAACCACGCCTCTCTCTCTCTCTCTCTCCCTTCTGTGACTCTCGCCAAGGCCGACGCATGATCCAGTGACATCTGCTTCACGAGGTGCTCAAAATCTGAGGGTTTCATAAGCACCACCTGCGGATGGACCGAGATCCAAACGGAACCGACGAGGGATCCCGAGCAAAAACCCATTCCGCACCGATCCTCCGAGTCGGCTGAAGGCTTCGTCCGAGAAGGGAAGGATCCCGTACTCTGATCGAAATCCAACCCATTGAGATAGAGGAAGTCCCCACTGATTGGTATAGACATACTATTATATATATATATTGTATTTACAGTATTTGGCTTGTCAGGTAGTGCAGGAATTCTTTGTGGTTCAGCTGGTATGCACTCCTTGAATTAAACTTGTGTATTTTGGCCGGGCAGCTCAACTCGTGGATACTACAGTACATGATACTACTATGGGACCAAGCACACTCAAAAGGACTTCTCCATATCCTTCAAGACGCTCTCCTTCAACACAACAAGACTCATCGAGTTTAAGACCTGCCATCATGGCTACAGTGGTGCCGCAGAGATAGTTTCAGGATTTGCAGTCAAACTGAAAGCCAAATCCACTGAACTATCCGCTTGGGGGACACTCCAGATCCCTCATCCTCATCCTGTCCAGATGCCTGGGAAAGGACACGTAGCACGGCATAAGCCAGCTTGTTCGAGATGATCCCGTAGGCGGCCTATCCCCACGAACTCCAAGTCACTCCGAGGATCAACCCAATATATCAACGCAGGCACCGCGGTGCCTCCTACGGATTATCTAAGAGGATGATCAACCAGGATGATCCAATATCCATTGATTTACAGATTCAGATACTTGCCAAGAGAACCTGACGATTCATGTCTTCGCCAGCAAACCTCGCTCGTGACATGTTATGGTTTAAGCCATACTTCTTTGGCACGCATAAACAGCATTATATACTTATACTGACTTATACTAGTGATACAAACTCCGCCTCCCTCTGCGCTCAGCCTGCTGTTCTTTGACCTCCCTCCTCCATGGGCATGGCGAAGACCGGCCTTCCGAAAAATGGGCATCATCAACCAATGGCTCCTTTGAGATTGATCAACCCGCTAGTTCAACGTCGTGATCCAAGTTCTCAAATGTATCTCGATCTATCAACGTAAAATTGATTATTGACTATAGATCGACATATTAACTTAATGTCATTGTATAACAACATCCGTCTATCTTCACAGGGATTCACACTTTACATGAGTCGAACGTTTCAAACAATTACAGGGTGATGTTGAAAGCCGGTAAAGCGATTTGATCAGCAAGCGGTCTCTGGTGCCACGCCTGCGAGAATCCGTACCATTCATGGGACTTGGGTAAGTGGGTACAGGTTTCTTGGTGGGAGAAGCATTCCTGGCACGGAAACTACTAAGCCTTGCCTCATCCTGCGACAGGTGGGAATGTTGCTGAGTAGCCGTGCCGGTAGAAGACTTCTTCATGCGTCGTGTACAGGAATGAGAAAACAAGCTCGGTCAAAACTCATGGATTCCCCGAAGGAGCCATGTGCTATGTTTCACTCACACTCCGCTTGGATCTCAACACCGGAGACCGAAATCTGGTGCCACGATCGTCCCCAAAGTACAACACTGGGTGACAACCTGGCAGGTTTGTTACCTTGCTTTCGGTAAGTTGATTCCACATGACATGCTTGCAATGGTGGCGTCTGGCTTTGGCTACAAGCAGCGTCGATTCCCCATGGCCTGTCTTAGCCCGTCGCGGATGGCCCGCTTTTTTCAACGTGATTCGGCCCGAGGAATCCATTTCAGCCAGGTCACCCACCTTCAAAGACCCTGAAACCACTCAGATGTTTTTGTTTCCGCAAGTCAAGGAACTTGCTGGCTGCATGACTTGCTCATCCATTCATGTAACATCATGATACTCATCATATAACATCATGTAACCATAACACGTCCAAGACATCCCATGGGATGACATAACATCCCATGAAATCCCCATGGGAAAAGGCCATGAAATCCCATGGGAATCGTCCACAACGAACCCCGGACGAAAGCCACACACCCGCCTCTCTGAGGCCCAGGGGTGCTGCTGCGCTCGCGGGGAGCATCCCAGCGGTGGCCTCGGCCTCAGTGTCACCACTGCTTCCAACTCCAGTCGACCCTAGGGGATTACTCCTCTATTGGCCTAGGGAAATGGCCATCTGGATCTCTCTCCTGCTCTTCTATCTCCTGAGGCCCGGATTCGGGTGTACATCCGGCCTCTCTTTCTTCGTGCATACGTGAACCCAATAAACCTCTGGCATCGGTCTCTTCACCCAAAAAGCGCGTGGTGGTCGGAGCAAATGTGACGTAGGCCGACATGAGTGGCAGAAGGGCAGAAGGTAACCAAATCCAATGTGGACTTTGTCTTGGAAGGTGTTTAATCCAAATCATTCCAAATCTCACCAGCTTGGACCGAATCCAAATCTTCACAGCCAGGTCAACACCAGGACCAGTCGTTCTGTGGCTGTGTTTCCCGACGGCTAAACTCAGGCGTCCGGGGAGCTTCACTGCGGCCTCATGGGTTGCTGGTCTATCTCTCTGCTTACATTTGCATCAACGTGCCTTTAGACATCTTAGACTCATACATTATACTAATTTTAATGTGATATAATGATTATAATGCGATGCCATTCAATGACTTTCATATAGAACACCAACATGACGTAAACACGTTCAGAATCCACCACCTGACAAACATGGATCAACTGATATCGCCTTCACAGAAACAAAAAGCAGAAGACCATCTGGTGGGATAAGGAAAACCCAACGCTTGTTACGCAACAACTTGTGTGTATATATATACTCAATTATACTCGTATATGGTTAATATATGATTAGTTATATGATTATATACGCACTCTGGCTCTAACATGGAAGTGGAAAATGGTCCCTTGGAAGACAACGTTCCTTTACAATACAAAGGTGGAGTTGTCCGCTTCCATGTCAGTGTTGGACAGAGCGTAGAACCGTCGAGTATTCAAACGGGAGCCCTGCAAACCAATCGTGGTATTTTGTTTCCATGGGCTGGATTGTGGACTGCTTGCGCAAACAGTCGATATACTGCAAATGAACAATCTCCTGCACCGACTGACAGAAGTTCGTGTACCCTGTGCTGGTGCTTGCAGTCATCTGGTTTCATAATGTTCATCTATACATGAAGTGGGGGGTCCCGTAGCGATAAGCAGGAATGTTATGGAATATGGTCAATCACTGGCAGGCTCAGGATGTCGTCCATCCGCAGTGACTGGCATCAAATTCCGCTGCATGGGCGCTGACACAACCCAAACCTTAGGTGGGTGCGCAGTCCCGACCAAGAGGAAATGAGGGTCATGAAAGTCAAGCATGATCTTCTTGAAGACTTTGTAGTTCTTGCTGGAGACCCCATGAGACCCCCCTGTCCAAAAAAAGGCACCACTTAGCTCTTAGAACCCTGAAACGGCGAGTTCGGAGCCGAGTTCCGAGCACGGGGGAGCACGTGGGGTCCCAACCTCCTCGAGTTCTGAATTCGGAACCTGGAGGATCTCACATCTCTCCGGGTCCACGTCACATGGTAGGACAAAGATTGGACCTGGCCATTTGGCCATCGGAGTCCTCACTGCACTCACTCCTGGGAGAGCAAGGTGCTGCGAAGCAGGCCTGGCCAAGGCCAAGGCGAAAGAAAAGGATTACAGGACTGGCTAGCATTCAAGTTACGTGTCCTTGCTCAATTGCCAATCCCTTCGGAGCCAAGTGACTAAGTCACTTCATAGTTGAAGTTCATGACGTTTGTTTCATGTGTTTGGGTTGTACTGGTGCATCAGCATTCCGGTCGGTTGCATCGCTTGCGTGTCATCAGGATATCGGCAACTAACCCCTGAAGAGACGCGCAACTCCGGCAACCTGGAGGCACTCAAGTTGTACTCTCCCGTGTAGTTCACCCCTGTTTGGTATTCAAAAAAGTGTCTTCCTTCGGGACCATTGACCATTTTCATCCATGCCATCCACTTCCATGTTACTTCCAGATTGTGTACCTCGTGACTTTCATGACAGCTCACCAGACTCGCCCCTGTCGTCGCAAGAACGACCCCCAATCGCGTCGTCGCCCAATTGATTGGTTGCCGAAGAGCAATGGATTGGTTGCAGCAACAATAGGACAAACAACTAAAGTCACTGTGGAGAAACGTACTGAAAAAGGGCGCACAAGAGCAATGAACAAACTATTTAAAAAAAAAAAAAAACTCACCGATTCTGCTAAAGACACACACAAACACACTTCCTCATTGAAGTCCATATCCTACATTCTTGACCTACGCAACTGCACTGCTTAACAATTGCATACGATTGCTCACCTTCAGAAAGACTTGATGCATTCACTTCAACCTACCCACACCTAAAGGGCATGAATATATAGATACCCTACGCACCCAAACCCTATAAATTGTAGGGTTGATGGAAAAACCTAGGGTTTCTGAAGGAAACCCCAGGTTTTCCAAACCAATATTAAAATACGGGTTTAGTACGGGTATGTACGGGTTAAATATGGGTTTAGTACGGGTTAAATATGGGTTTAGCACGGTTTAGAAAGCAAGACCCGAGGTTTTAAGAACAAACCTGAGGTATTTTTGATTTCACAAGAATACCCGAGGTTCCGATTGAGACCCTACAAATTTATAGGGTTTGGTTGCGTAGGGTATATATAATGATATAATATCCCGCCTTATAGGCCTTGCACTTGATGCATTCACTTCTAAATATCCCTTTTGACCGCCTCAAATTAGGGCCTATCCCTGAGTGTATCGGTGAGCCACCTGCTCGCCGACCTCGACCTGCCGTCCCCCCGAGGCATCGTGCCTGTTGCCCGGAGCAGTCCGCGCGTCGCCCGCGGCACCGCGCCGTCTTGGCGTAGCCGGCGCGGAGCTCCTCGGCGTAGCGCTCGTCGGCAAAGGGCCGCAGGGCCTCGCACAGGCGATCCACGCAGCTCATGCCGTGGAGTTCATCGCTCCAAACCTGGGCGAGGAGGGCGTGGGCGCCGGCGCGGCGACAAGTCTAGTGGTCTAGTCAGACCGGTTTCTGGAGAGTTCGACCGGTTCATGTGGAGGGGCAGACAGAATGTGTGAAGTGTGAAGTCCGGTGGCAGAGAGGTGGGGAGAGGTGGGGATGTGAGGTGTGAGGTGGGGATGTTGTTGGAGCAATAATGAGGACGTAGGTGGGATAGAGGTAGGTGGATGGGTCTCGAGTCTAGATTAGGTGTAACAGTGGTGGGGAAAATGATTGAATTTGGGGAGATGATTGAACATGTTGAAATATGATGCTGAAAAATGCCGAGAAAGCAGAATGGTTGAACATGTTGGAGAATGTGGCGAGATGCAGGGCTGCTTTTAGATCTGGTGGACTTAGGAAATGGTGTTTGAAATTTGGCTTTGTGCACATGAACAGAAATGGTGACGAAGTTTCGCCCATCACTGGGGACTGTCTTGGCATTCCTCCCAAGCCAAGTCTCCGTAGATGCCGCATGAATGGGCTGAGCCAGTGGCCGATTCGTTTTAGGTTATAAAGTTATATAGTTTAAGTTCAAACGTGCGAATGATTCAAGAACCGCCAGCTGACCCCAAATTGAGGGAAAAAGAAGTGGTCAAATAAGTCCACACCCAACGGACACCCCAAGGCAGAAACTCCTGGGTGTGTATTAAATGACCTCCCAAACACCCCCTGGAAAGAAGGGAAATAGACCAAAACCGCTTGGAGGTTGTTCCTTTCAGAGGAGCATGACTAACGTTCCGTCTTGGACCGAATCCTGACAAGTCCTGCCTTGAATTTCTTCGAGCCCAAGGGATCTTGAGCTAATCTCCCCACAGCTGACATGGTGATTGGTGAAGCTTCTTCATAGGAAAAAAAGGCGGTCAGTCTGAAAAAAAAAACAACAACACATGAGTATCTACACACAAATCTGGAGGATCAAGGCTATCAGCACTCCAGACTTCCCAGACTTCCCCTTCTCTCCCTCACTTCCCTCCAGGCGACGAAATCCGCAAAGGTGATCACGTCACGCTGCGCGTCGTATAAGACGCAGCTGGGACGGAGCCCCGCTCGCCCGGCCGTGGCGGGGCCGTTCGGGCCGTTGCCGTTGGGGTCGGAGCAGCGATACTTGGACAAGGTCTTGGAGAGTTGCTCCCCCACCTCAGGGGGAAACATGGTGGAAACATGCTGGAAGATGTGAGAAGATGTGGAAGATGTGAATGTCCCCCGACACAACACTATAGTAATTCTCAAGTTGAAGATGTGGATGGCAGATCATTGAAGGGGAAACCATATTCACAAGAAACCCTAAAATGTCACGGTCAGTGCATTTTCCGGGAAAGAATGACACACACCATATGTGCCAAATGCAAGGTGCACCTTGAACAAAAGCTTTTTAAGGTGCTGATCCTTCTTAGATTCTCTGCAATCAGCAAAATACTGCTCCAGGGTAGTGTTACAAGGGCAGTTGGCCACAAAGACACGGCCACAACTCTGAATGCCCATCTGCAAGGGAATCACGCTGTGAGGAAACGCCAGGTTCTCATCGTTGAGGACCTCCGGAAACTTCCGCACGAATTCCTCACAGCGCTGCAAGTGAACGCCTTCGACGCTGGCGGCCACATGCTGCAGGTACCAACATTCTTTCCTTGGTTCGCTTCGCTTCGTTTCTGGGCCGTGGGCCCAAGGCATCAGGCATCCATGGGCCATCTGTGTGCTTTGCCAAGGGCTCTACGTATGAAATGTCTGGCCATCTGCGGGTTCGTTTCTTCGGGCCGTTCATTTCTGCGGGCCGTGCGTTGCGAAGTAAGTACTCATGGGGATTTGCTGGCCGCAAGATGGACCTGCATGAATGAACACGGTGCTTCTGCTACAGTACCTATGCGAGAATGTAAGATCATGTAAACCTCGTGCATTCTGCTTGCTTCCAAGCATCTGGCCCTTCTGGTACAACATCCATGCCTTCTTCCGTACCGGCCAAAGTGTCGGCTCCGTCAACTTCTCGAAGGGCGACACTAGCCAGGCCAAAGTGACCAAGCTCTGCTGGGGGTGAAAGCCACTGTGGCCCACTGCCAAGGAGCTCAGGGTCTTGAAGCTGTTGCCTGGTGGCCGACCCCCGACCAGTGAGTCCACAGCGTGAAGGAATTGAGGTGACAGCAGTAAGGGAGAAACCAATCGAAACCACCATGTGGAAAGCTATAGTCCCCACGAAACCAAGGAAACCATCAAGTCATATATATATATAAAATATATAGTTATATAATATATAATGTCAGGTTATATAATAAGTTGACCAAACGGGCGTTTGGAAACAAGTACTATTGCACAATCATTCCGACATGGATTCTAAAAATACATCACGGAAAGAAACACCAAAAAGGTCCGCATGTCCACCACCACGAAGGGTCGTGATGCTGCGTTGTTGTTGTTGTTGTTGTTGTTGTTGTCGTTGTCTTTTTGAACGCGCGGCGGCGACCCAATGGTGTCTCTAGAAACGATCAGGACCGAGGAACTTCCAGGAAGGAAGGGATGGACTGGACACCTGGGGAACCCTCCAACATCCGGAGGCGATTTGGGGCCCAACGGCGGCCCATTGGACTCACTCATGATCACTCATGTGACTGTGGGTCAAAAACCGCCAAATCCTGAACCACCAAAATAAACAAAATTAACAAAACATCAGTGGTGCCAAGCCTTTTTGGGGTGCGTTTGGTATTGGCCCAGAGCCGTAACAATTCATTCATTCCGTCCTCCTTCCCCAGGTCCCACCTCTGCGCAGCCTCGTCACCACACTGGCGTCTGCAGGGTAGAGGTCCTCGCTGCTGATGCTCATGCCGGTGGCAGTTGACTTGGTACTGCTACGGGAGGCAGCCACTTTGGGCGCCAAAGCCGTATACCTCAAGTGGAAGGCAGAGGCATAGCGTTCTCCTGCCATGCCCCAAAGCAACCTCTCAAACTTTTCCACATCATCTGTGATGCCTAGCGATCCCATGCCCTCTAGATCAATGATGCTTAAGGTCTCCGTCTTCGCATCATAGAGCACATTGCTGGGATGGAAGTCAGTATGGTAGGTGGGTTCCCCTGTCATCGGGTCTGTATAGCGTAGATGGAACTCCGCCAAGAGCTCCCCGATCTTCATCGCCACGGCCTCCAGCTGCTCCTGGTCTTGGGGCTTTCGGAGGTCCAGGTCCGCCACATAGCGCCCCAGCTGCACGCCGGGGCACATGCGAGAGATCAAGAGGTCCTTCGTGTGCTCATAGGTCTCACTCTGGAGCTCGACAGAACTGTGAGGAAAGGCCAAGCTTGGATCACTCACAAGAGTCCTGAAAAGGGTCGGATTCCAAAAAGATCGGTTTTCTCCGTGGTTGATTAGATCTGGATACCATCTCAAACCAAACGCTCCATGTATGGTATATTTGCCTACATTGGCATTGGGGCGGTTTGGGGGGTCAATGTAGGCATATATGGCATACAGTGAGTGTATGGGATATATGATATGATATATATATATATGACATGATATGACGTGATCAGGATCCTGACTATATCCGGTTACTCAAATGGTTGGATCTGGAAGTGGCTTGGATCGCTCCGATGCACTGCTTTCGCCAGGTCTCGGAAACTTCTGGAGCAGCTGGTCGCAGTTCTCAAGCTCCGTGGGGAGATTCTTCCGGCGCACACTGGAGACCTGGCGATGACAAGTAAGAACGAAGTAGTTTGGTTTTGTGTGTTTGCTTGAGTCTTTTTTCGCTCTCGTTCATCCGGTGATGACAAGGAGTTGTAATTGGATGCGTTCCACCGGTGTCCGGCGTTCGGTCGGCGAATGAGACGGACCTCGACCGACGGACCGTCCGGTAGAACACATGGACCGGACCTCTGGTCCGGACGTGTCGGACATCGAGACGGACCGACGTCAAGACGTCCATGGACAACGGGACAACAGATTCTCCATGTCATGACTAATGATGGAGATTCCAAAGGAAACCATCCAACACATCGGATCATTTTTCCAACAAAACCATTGTCCCATACACGACTAATGGGACTACATATATGCCAATCAATTGACCCCCCTGGCACCACCCCAATGTCAAATATACCCATGGAGCGTCAACAATTTGGATGGATTGAATCCAGCCCTATTTCTCCAGCTCTATGGCTTCCCTTGGTTCTCGGGTCCCACCTGCTTGATCATCCACCCGCACCGGTCGCACCGACCGCCCTCCTTGGGCTCCAGGAGCCAAGCGGAGTGGCCGAGACCGATGGGACGCAGCTGGACCTCGGCGGAACGGTTGGAGCTAGGACCTCTGGGTGACCAGTTTACCATCTTTCCACACAAATTCATACAAAATGCATCACATGATCTTACCTCAACAGCATAATACACATCAAGGCAAATTTCATCATGTCCATGTCTTTGACCAAAGCCCCAACAGTCAAAAGTAAAGCGCATCACAACATCACCACCTAGGAGCTAAGACCTACAACTTACAACCAAAAATCTCACCAAAGGTTCTATCCTAAGTGCATGTCATGAATGTCCGTCATAGCTTTACATCATAAAGTCCATTAAAATCCTATCTTGGAAGCTTGTCTAAAATGATGTTTGTTTAATTGTTTCGTACATATGTTGTGTCTTATTTGTTAATATCTTCTCATCATCATGTTTAAGATGTTCATCTACTAAATCCGTGTGTTTCCCTTGTTTCGGGATGTTTTACACAAGTTTTCCAAAGGTTGCAACCTTCATTTGTTCCTTTCTTGTAATAAACACAAATGGCAAATGTTTCAAGTTTACAGTATGTCTTCTTAGACTCCCTGCACCTGTCTAGGAAGACCTGTGGCGGGAACCTGGCCATCTAAAATCATGTTCAAACAATGTTCAAAGCTGGCTGTGAGGTCCCGATGCTGGATGGAAGTGCTGCATCTAATTGAATTGCTAAGCACTTCTCAATGTGTCTATGCAAAGCACGCCCCATCCAACATGGATTTTGGGAGGCAACCCGGGTCGATAAGCTCACCCGAATAAAGGAGGCTGAATAGTTTGTCCATCTGCTGTAGTTGAGCAAGTACAGAAGTAGTGACTAGCAAGGCGGGCACACTTAAAAACAATACGTACCTACAGGGGATGCACAATCTTGCCGAACAAGAACATAGAAGTTCATCATCTAAAGTCTGGGGCATACTGTTGGTGAAGAGTTGTGTTAAGGTTCCAGGTGTTGATGACCCTTTTGCGATGTCCTTTAACTGTTAGGACTGCTGTTAGGGCTTTGGTAAAAGACATGATTAATTTCACGTGGAAAGATTTGTGTGATGAGTTGGTGTGATGATGGTTTAGGGGGATGGTATTTCAAAATGCTGCTGAGTGATCCTAGCATGTCCTAGCTCTATAAACCGCCCAGAGTGGGTGGTGCTGGTTGCTCATGAGTGGAAAATTGGATGGGTTGTTGGGGCTATGCTGATCCCAGATTCTGGACTAGAAAGGCCGCTTGCGGCTTGCGGTCCTTGGGGTTCTGTCTCGAAATGATGGTCCAATGAGAGGATATCACATTTGACAGGTGGTGTTTGAGGGCCAGCTCTTCATTCATGCTAGTTGTAGATTGTAAAGTGATGTAGTCACAATATGTGCCAAGAAATCTCTCTCTCTCTCTCTTGGGCTCTCTGCAGGGGGAGCTGACAAAGTAGTTGCCAAGCAGGAATTCTTATCATGCAAAGGAAAGCAAGCGCAACACATTACAACTGGGTATCAAAGTTCCTGGAGTTCAGTTGGGAGCAAGGACGATACGAACGGGGCTACTAGGACCATTGCTACGTGCTTGCTTTTCCGTCTGCTCCTCTTGTGCCGAGGGTCGGAATCGGGCGACACGCTGTCATCCAACAACCTGGTGCGGTGCCGGTGCGGTGCGAAGGTTTAACAAGCTTGCCATCGACTCTCTCAAGTGTCACTCCCAAGGCAGGATGTTGCAATTTCAATGTGGGATGTGCTTTGTTGATCTCACTGTTAACAAATATACAAAGGAGATCCAAGGAGTTGATTTTTTACAAACGGTCTTTGGACCCAAAGCACCTCAGCAGCTCCGGCACGGCGCGCGGATCGAAGCATCCGGAGGCTTGTCGCAAGAGCCCCAGGCGCTGCAGTCCGGGCGGTCCGGTTTTCCGCGGTCCGGTGTTGGGCGAGAGCACGGAGCAAAGGGACATGGACATGAGGCGGAGCCGTCTGGTGGCTCACACTTTGAGCCCAAATGGCTGGGTTGTTGTGAGTTGTTGTTCTTTTTTAATCTTTATTGTTTTTCTGTGTTGTTTCGTTTTCGCAATCTACTGCAGTTACGGAGCTAGTTGCAGAGTCAAATAGCTGGCTTCACATCAATTGAGAAAATCGCACTTCCTGGAATGGACAATCCAAAGATCCTCGTTGTTCCTCATTCTAAACACTGGGCGAGATCGTGGTGGAAAAGGGAGCAACAAGGCTACTCCGAAACTTGGTTCGCCCAGAAACGGCTCGAAAGAACTCTGTGCGTTCCCAAAACACCTGGAGCACCTCAACATATACCTCAACCCAACCCCAAAAAAGATCCACAAGTCTTAGCCTCTTGAGATTCACCAAAAGATCCGCCACTTCGCCATGTTCACCAGTGATTGCATCCTCCAGTCCGTCTCAGTGCTGCGCCTCGTGTTGGCGCCGGCGTCCGGCCCCGCGAAGGCGTCCGGCCCCGCGCCGGCGTGCGGCTGCGGCTGTGGTGCGTGGGGGCGGCTCTCGCCGGGGTCCGGCTGCGGCTGTGCCAAGCGCCTCGGCGTGGCCGGGATTTGGCACACGTGTTTAGGTTAAGGAAAGGGAGATGGGACAAGATGACTTGGTGGTTTGGACAGGAGAACTGTTGCTGTTTAAATGACAAAATTTGACAAAGGGTTCAGATATGCTTAGATAGACAATGATAAACGACATTCTCAAGTATCAGTAAACACAAGCAAACACAAGTGAACACAATGGGTTCGACCAGCTAAGCATCTTAGCATTCAGCCATGAGTTGGAATTAGGTGTTGGATTGTGGCAGGCCGAAACACACGGATCTTCCGTTTATGCGCAGTGGATACTACATGCAAAACCAAACATTGGAGATCATTGGAGGTTGCTGATGTTGAAGCAGAGTGAAGTCGGTCAGTGTAAACCAACCAATCGAACAGTGCCAGGTCGATGGTCCAAGTTCCGGTGTTCGGTGCCAGCGTGCATACTATAGGCCGGCTCATTCAGCAGATCAATTGTACATGCTCATTGCATCCCAAAAGTCTTCACAAGTCGTCGACGACTCTTTTGCGCCGCCCAGCGTGTTCAGTCTGCATAGTGACGGGTCAACCCATCGTCCCCTTTTGTGGCGTTGGCGTCCCCACAAAAGAATATCCGTCCCGGACGTCCTGTCTGGCGTTCCTGGAGCAGCGTGACCGTCGTGACCTCACTCAGAAGGCACTAAAAGCACAAGAAGGTCAACTGAGGGACTCCTCAAGGAGAAGAGGAGATGTTTTTGGAGTTCTATGGGTTTCTCATGGTTTCTCCAATCGAAGAAGCTTTGGAGAACTAGCTCAAGTGATGATTCTAGTGACTGGGGACCTACGGATGACCTCGCAGTGAAGCCCAGGCAGTTGTAGAAGAGAATCACCTTCCAGGACTTGCACAAATGCCCATATCCATCTGCATCCATTCAGCTGATCTCGATCTTCAACCAGGTCAACCTTTGAGCAAGCTATGGATCACATCATCTAGGTTGCACTAGTAATTTCTAGTGCACTGAGTACACGGCTTGCCCTGTTTACTACATTAACAGCATTAACATCAAGCGATACAGTTTGCTATGTGACATATGTCCTACAAATCTGCGTCTGTGCTGCTCTTGAATGTCCCCTTTGGCACCTGCTACAACTTGGCCACCCAGCCATATCCCAAACTGCCACCACTGGCAGCTCCAACTCCCATGGTCGAAGCTGGCGGTGGGGGGGAGTGTGAAGGGATGAATGGATGAAGGAAGAAATATATGGAGAAATGAAGACTCATCCCAGCACCACTCTATCGGGATGGTTATTGGATGGTAAACACATGGTCAGTGGGGGGTCCAAAAAAGAACACACACGAACTCGTGGGTGGGGCTGGTCATCGATGGTTGACATCACTCTCATGAGTCAGGCCATGGGTGGAGCTTCTAACCATTGGAACCGAAGGTGTCAAATGGTGTCATTGAAAAGGCTCAGAGCGATGGGTAGTGCAGAAAGCTCATCAAGCGGCGGTATATGGCTTGTGTTGACACATGCTATTGTTCTCGATTCTATTGAGAAGTGCTTCATTAGCCCTGAGGGTGTCCCCCAAATATACCAGCATGTGCAATAGATAGAGCATCGCATGGCATACATCTCAGTTACTTCCCTTTGTATCCATTTGCGATGAGTGGTCTTCACATGTCTCAAATGGCCTGAGAATGGTGAATGGCCTGAGAATTCGTCGCCCAAATCGTTCCGTGACCGAATGGGAAGCCATGGAGGGTTCCAACGGATGAAGCCTCAATAGAAAAGGGCTGCATTCAACCCATCCATGCAACGTCACAGGTGAAATCATTGGTAAGAATGAAAAACCGCGTGGTGAGGCCTGGTTTGGGGCCCGGGGCGATGTTCGTGCATAAATCATTGATGCTCATGCATGTGATGTGCTGGTTGAGATGAGCCACTAAGGGAAGTAGATGAGGGATAAATACTATATCAAACGAAACGCTTCTACTCACCAAAACAGGAGTAGCTATGCCATCACATTTTTGAAATCCCAAAGGCCATGTCATCAATAGTTACATAGACGATTACGTATGTTCATCATTGCCCCCTAAAGCAGCCGGCCCATCTCAATCCCCACGTGGCTCTGCACCATCAACCTGGCCTACTGCTGGGGGCACTTGAGGAGGTACCGGCATTCCCCATGCAGCAAAGGACCTGGCGAGTGGCTCGGTCAATTTCTTGGCTGGCCCCGTCGATGGAGATGGGCAGAGATTAGTTGATCAAAACACCATCCAAAAAACCCTTTGGGCATGACCACAGATCAATGAAAATCCTTGAATTCTTGACAATCCATGATGTTCGGGGTCAAGCATTCAAGGGTTGTGATTTCTAGGCATGATCCCCAGAATTGTTGTGGATCGAAAGAACCATACCACACCAATCGTTTCAATCTGTCATACAACATCCTGTCTGACATCTCCACTTTTGAGGGTCTATCAGGTCTATCATGCACATCTTCTTACCCGACCAAACACCAAGGCCTTGACAAGTAGCATGGTCAATACAAGGACAAAGACAAAGGCCCGGTGAGCGAGAGGCATTTTCGGCCATGAGACCTCCTAGCCAGGCCAACTGCAGAAATGTCAGGTTGTGGACTCACGTGGTCGCATTCATGCCTAGTAGGACCTTGGATTTACATGGATTTACAATTGTTTTACAGTATCAAACATGTATCAAAGAACTTAAGATAGTCTTGGGTGCCCTTGATGGCCTATCAGCTCTGGATGTTCTTACATCCTTTAATGTTGGAGCCGCATGTTCTCGATCCTTCTCGACTCATGGACCCTTCGTTTCAGCCACACGAGGACACCCTCGATCCAGCGACCACAACTCGGAGGATCCAGCGCTTGGCCACACCGGTCGTCGACCGCTTTTGGGGGCCTCGTCCTCTCATCCCTGCCACACGGTAAACGCCCGGAAGGCTCGGCCGGTTTGGACGCCGCTTTGGCCGCGTCGAGGCCACCTGGAGACGGAGAAGCAAACACTAAGGAGACACAAGGTGCTGGCAGGAATGGACATCCACACATGCAGTGCGGCATGTAAAAACGAGGAGGTGTAGATCACGAAGATCCTCTTCAACTTTCATTTGCATCATATTCATCTCTCCCCTCCAAACAAGCAACAATTTCTGTTCCAACTTTGCTCCTCCAAGGCAACTGCTACATACGCAGCTTCCTCACCGTCCTCACCCCACCCAACCCCCTCCCTCCGCGGCTTAACCGCTCCCCACCGGGCGTGGTGCTCGCGGTGGCTCCAGGCCTTGGAGACCGAGCACCGCTAGTTGCGGCTGTTCGATCCTTCGTCTGTGTCGACAGCGGTGATGAACACAAGGGTGAAACAACTTACGAATTGTACTTATGTATGTGAACAATGAACATGGAGGTATCATTCAATGTGTTATGTATTTTTTAAAAAGACACATCTATATAGGGCGGAGAAGAACACACATAGATTCTTCCACGATCTTGCACGTGTCAAAACCAAGCACAAACCTTAAAAGTGAACATCCGCCAGTTCTTCCGATTGTCTTACCCAGGGTCACTGACCCTGGTGTCCCAAGGCCACCAAATGTTTGATTTGCGACTCAGCCCAGCCCGACCCCAAAATACCGGGTCTTTGGCAGCAAGGACTGTTGACTGGGCAACAAATACATTGTTTTTCTCGGCATTGATACAAACTAGATTTCACACACAAGCACACACGTTGGTTGGGCAGCTTTTCAGGTGCCCAGGGCATTGTTTTGACATCTGCGTACCTCTCCGCCTGCATGTTCTATTGGACTACAGCCTCGGCGAATCCCAGCCACTCCACTTTATTAATGTTAATTATATAAATATCATATGACCATCCGCAACAGATGACTTTCACGAAGCAACCAGGAATTGAAAAGAAGCACTGGGTGGTTACTTCCAAAAAACCACCTGAGGTCCCCGTCGATGTGGCCGGCACGGTTCTGGGTGCTTCACCTAAAACATCGGATCACAACAGGTCCAGGTCCGGTCTGACCAACTCCAGTAGGTTTTTCACCGACCCTGATCGAGCAGTCCCATCGCGACCGAATGAATGCGTCGACATCGAAACCAAAATTGAATTCAAAAAGAAGGGTTGAAAGCTCCCGAACACATCCGAACACGTCGACGGGCAGCGTACCCGAAAATCGAAGAGGCAGCGTCAGCGAGCTGGACCGCGAGTCTGGCCCGGTCCCGGTCCCTAAACCTGCCCGGTCCGTGTCGTGCGGAAAAGGGCGGCCGGGCCGGGCCGGCAAGCTTAGCCGGTTCCGTGTGTGACCCGGTCATCCCTCGGGTCGGAAGAGACCACGAATTCATACGAATTCCCTGCAGGGTAGACAGCCTTCAGGGGCAAGTACCTAGCGCTTCCGTGTCCCATGGTCCCATGGAGACCTATATATAATTATATTTATCAGATCCTACTTAAGGCCGTTTATTGGTGCCTCCTTGGAAGCAAACATGATCTGATGCTGGTGCTGATTCTCACCCGATTCAAGCCTCGCCTCCATCACCAGGCATCGGCTCGTTCGCAGGACACATCGGTGTCACCAAAGGCTCTGGAACCGAAAGTGCCTGGGCTGGAGACTGCGGAAGTCAGGTGAAAACATGGTGAACACCGTACTGCGAAGATTCGAGACGTCTGAAGTTCTTTTGTCCTGGACGTCTCTTCCCGTGGTTGTGGCGCCCGGTTCAACAAACTGCCCTTGTCACGTCACCCCGCACCCCAGGTCTCAGATCAAAAGAGCCAACCCACCTCATCCACCAATCATCCACCTCCCAGCTGAGTCACCAAGGACGCCATGTTCTTCGACTCAAGTTCTTCGCGCTCCACCTGCCTGCGTCGCCCCCCAAAAAATCGTGGCACAAGACCTATATAGCACTTCTTTCACTGCGTAGTTCCTTTAGACCTCTTAGTATGTTGAACTCCAAGGAGCTTTTGCCAATACGATGCTCATTGCCTGGAACTCTGGACCTCAACGCATCAAGTTTCTCATCGAACACCGCGTCGCCTTCTTCTGCCGTCGATGCGCCGACATCTTTTGATCGGATCGGTCGATGTCGGTCGATGTCGAACGCCTGAGCTGTTCCTCGGTCCTTTGCATCTCCTCTGCGACGAAGCGCTTCTGCTCGTCCAAAGTCCTCTAAAAACCGACCAGATGGTGTGGGTGCGGCAAGGGTAAAATAGAATCCTAATAATCGATTGCTGACTATTGCTCCTTTCGGGAGGATTGGTCTTTTGATGTCTTTTGGAATTGCTAGAAAATGTAGAAACAGATAAACTGATCGAGAGCATGAAGAGGTTTGAGGTGTGACAAGTTTGGTGATATGTTGTGTATCTGCGAATGCCGAATGCCCTTGATTTCCTTGACACCTTGATTGCGGGGCGATTTGTGTGTGTGATCTCCCCAGACGTTGAATTGTCCTGGGCCATCTTCAGCTCAATACCAAGTTGCCAAGAACAACATATTGTAAACATAAGCATTTAACAACATATTGTAAAAATAAGTACAGCCTATTTCCTTCATCTCTCGATCATAATTACTGGATCGATCTGCATCCCTCATCACGGAGGAGGTACATATCCGTCTTCAGGCTCTTGTACCAAGAAGCCGTCACGGTAGCACGCTCCATCTGTCCGCAGGTCCCTCCGAAGATTGAGACAGTGTCCTAAAGTGAGCTTCGGCTTTATATGTATATTAAGCGTTCGGTCCTGTATCTAAGTTCTTACAGTTTAAGAACTAATGTTGCTTGTGCGGTGCGTCTTTACGCAAGCACGTGGTGTCATCTTACACGAGCGCCTTGGGGAACAGAAGTCCTGTGCCAAAGCTGAGTCCGAAGGGTTCTCCCGAAGGAGTTCCCTTGTGTGAGGCAACAGCAAGGCATCGAGGAAAGTCAAGCAATGGGCACTTACGTCAAAGCCATCGCAAACCCCTGCCCTTTCGCAACACGTGTTCCACATGGAGCTTAAGGCAACCTTGCGCGACACAGTGTCTTCCTTACGCCACAAATCGTTTATGACATACTTAGACACCTCTCAGAATATCAAGGGAGACTTGGCCCATTTCTCAATTTCTTTCAATAGGTCCGAAGGGGGGCAGTGCCACTCTACCTGTCTCGTTGGCAGTTAGGCTGATCTGGTGCGATCCAAGACCTACTGTATCACATGTCTTCAGGAAACGATGGTGCTCGTTTTTGTTCCGGGTTCCAAACCGATATATGAATTACCCAGCGCCTTCCGTTCGGAGTCTTCTGACTTGTGGATCTCCATTGAACACCCCTTTGTTTCGGTTCAGGTAATGTTGTTGATTAATATACCCCCATATGAGAGGTCTTGCGAGAATCCAAATGGGGGGATATATTATATGTGGATATATTATATAATATATAATTAAGGAGTCGATATTTACATGATTCAATATTCTTCTGAGATCTCAGATTCTCCAGCTCCCCCCTGTCCCACCCGCCTGGGGCTCTCCATCTCTTCCTGACTGGCATGATGTTCTCCACCGTTTCGTATCGTTTCGTCTCACTCACGTTGTAATCTTGTGGAGTTAATTGTCATCCACAAAATCAAACAAGGAGTGTACTGTTCCAACTGTTCCCTGCTTCCTTGCATTACTGAGGCAGTGCTTTCCGATCTAGGAATCTAGGTATATAAATTGCTATACATGCAAGAATTTTGTTGACAATACAAAGTTTTGTTGGAACACAATCAACATGGAACATTGAGGTTGCAGGAAGATTGATACATAACAAACAAATAATGAGTCTAACACGAAACATATCCAAAACATGTAAAACAAAGTACATTGAATTGAATCATCTAAAAGCACAAAAGTCCAACCAAGTTCATCAGCAGCCACCAAAATGAAGAATCTCTAACAAAATGGCACCAAAGTCAACTCTTAGATCTTTTTTTTGTCTGCTTGGATGATCATATCTATCATCTATCTATTATATTATGTATATGCAATTAGTTATAGTACGTAGACAACATACATATATATATATATGTTACAAGTTATATACAAACAGTTTTGTTCGTCATTCAGGTATTGGGAACGGGATCCGACCGACGACCGTCAGCTGTGTAGACTCTTGATGAACCTCTGTCTTCTATGGATTAAAAGAAAACTCTTCTAAATTATTAAGTATATAACTATGAGTATATAGTTAAGATCAATTAAGAGTCTACATGATTGCTTCGCCGTGGCATCTGAAAGCAAGCCCCCGTGGCGGGGTGCCTCTCCAGGTGCTGCGGCCAGTGCCGCGGCCGGTGCTGCGGCCACAGGGGCCACGAGTGCCACGGCTAGTGCCGCCGTGGGAGGCGGAGCTGGGCGCACCTTGCATTTGGGCCTCAGGAGGTGTCGGAGCGGAGAAACTGGGAGACAAACCGTTCTCAACGAGTGGGTAGAGATATTCGATGCTGCATGATCCCTCATGCCCTCATGATGTTGTAAAGACATGCTAGAATTCTGGGCGAACGCTTCGCGAACCAAAGTTCCTTGGTCCCCCCCAAACCAGTGGAAACCAGCACGGTCCCACTGCATAGAAGTCAATACACACCGGCCCATTCAGCTCACAAAGAGTGCTTCTTTTCGTCTCGTCTTCGGGCTATACGTCACTTCTTTGGATCTGGCGAAACTGAGGCGCTAATCTGGCGTGTTCCCAGCTCGATCACCCCACTGTGATCAGATACAAAGGGGTCGACATGTTTCGCGTGTTGTGGCGTGACATGTTCCATTGCTGGGCCTGGTCACACAGAACACCTGAAAAGGGGCTGGTCACCCTGGCTATAACAAAAAGAGATTGCTTTCATTGGAGAACAGGCTATACCATGGTGGAAGGCACAAAGTCAGTGTCAGGATTTGCATTCTGATCTTGAACAACAAGTTGCAGCTCAAAATTGCATGGCACGAGGGTTAGCTCGGCTCGTCTTTTCAAGACCCTTGGTCGATCCGTGCGTCCGGACGCACCACAAGGTCTCAATATGTCTCAATGCATCGAATGAAAACATGCCTCATGATCATCTGGATGTCATCTGAATCGGTCAAAATAACAGCTTCTTTTACATCAAACTCGATCAACCCTCGCCAAGAAAGCGTCCCGTTCCCGATGTTCGGCCGCTCAGAGTCAGAGTGCCAAAGAGTGCCTGGAGCGGCCGAGCTCGGCCAACCCCTCGAACAAATCTGGGGTGATCGCGGACCAAAACAGGATGGATAGCAACATCTAGCAGCTAAGACTAGCAGAACCCTTGCGAAGCAAACTTGCACATGTCCTCAACAAAAATGCTTAGGCAACCTTTCCACCAAAGCCTTTGAGGTCCCACTCGAGCCGAACCGAACCGTTCACCTCGTCCTCCGAAGTGCGCCCGCCCGCTCAAGCGTCCTCCAGGCGCCGCGCTGGTGACCGGTGGGCCGGTCGTCGCCGGTCGGCGTGGAACTGATGGGGATGGAAAACCCCCCAACATGACGCGGTAACAGCAGGTGTTGTATCCTGAAAGCCCTCATCTCCATGCGCCCACAAACAGCATGGTCTCTTGAGACCGAACCATGTTGCCCTCCCTTTTTTCACTGGAGTCTGGTCCTAGTAGTGTTCCCATGTAAAAAGAAACACCACTCAAATGAGGCGACCCGGTCGGACCAGGTTTTACATTTACATGGTTATCCGTCTGGGACGATGCACCTATTGTGTATGATTATTCTTCCATCTCTTGTTCAATAAAAGCCCCGGGAAAATGTGTCACATGTTATGTCACGCATCTAATTTAATATGAATATAGACATCATATAGAAAAGTAAATCCCCTCCAAAAATGTATTGGAAACCGTTATATATATAAACCTCTTCAACTAGAAGTGGTATACATATAATGAGGAAGTG